GGAATCATGACAGATCATGATCTGGGTGGGATAAAGTTTGGCACTCCAAAGGCTGTTGGACCAACCTACCTACGGAGTACCTATACCAGGCTCGTGCGCCGCCTCCTGATACTGTTGCCTACTTGGTCCTAGCATGGCGCTGGATCGGTTCGAGGTCGCTCTTTCGACTGATTATCGAAAGGATCGATAGATGGATCAATAGATGGATCGATAGATGAAACCGCGCCTAAGCCCATTAGCTAGCCGATGATCGAATGCCTTTTTGTTTTTGTTCTTGATCAGTCGAGCTCCTCGATGCTGATGCATACACCGATTGTTGATTCGACAATGTCGGATAGGTAGGTCCAAATCTGTACGCAGTTGAATAAATTGACGATGATCTGCTCCCAGTCTGGACATGATGCTCGATGAGCCAAAGCAACCCTAACAGAGCAGGCCTCTTATATATTTGCAGGATGGCGATCTACAGTGGGATCTTTAGCCATCGAGATTTACAGGGCTCTTGTGTTGGTTGCTGAGCTTAGAGCTAAACCACCTACGACTTCGGAAACCCAGGGTTGACCGCATGAGAACGAGACTTCGACTCCACGGATTCACTGGAGCTAGCCAGGGAGACTGGGAGACTGTCTTTGTTAGCAGCTTAGGTTGTGGTCAGCACCTTCCAAGTTTTGCTCCATGCGCTGAATAAGGTTCAGTATGGTTCTAAGGCAAATATACGTCGATCCGTGCATGCCAGCGCGGTACTCCCGTGCCTCGTGGCGTTGTGTGCGAGTAGTAAGAGGAACTAAGTTATGTTTGGATAGTGTGAAAGTCAAGCTCAAAACACGGATAGGACTACCTCAAGGTGGAAAAGAAAGGCGATATAGGGGGGCTTGGGCTGGAAAGTCATTGTCTTTGTTTGAATCATACGATGAAGAGCTGGTTCCGGTCGGTAGGTGACATCTCCTTGACTGAAGGCGCATGGTTAGAGACCCTCATGATACCGCAGTCTACTGCAGATCCATGGCATGGCAGAGGCCATGAAACCTTCACTGGGTCTCAAGAGAAGCTCGAGTCAGTCGGAGCCAGTTGGAGTACAGTACAATACTGGTAAGTGCTGGTAAAGCCGCGGATGTATGTATCAGTATATTCATGATACTTGCTGTATGGCATATTACATTACCTAGTACTATCTCCAATCGGCTCGAATCAAACTAAGAGCGGGCGAAGAATCAAGTGTGGATCCAGGCCTCATCCACCGGAGCCACTCGTATTATTGCTGTGCCGGTGCCCCTCTCAAGTCGTGACATGACCGAATCAACTACCTAACCTACCGTAGTCTAAGGAGTCTAGCTCTCCGCTCGCCATGTTATCTCCTCTCCACTGCTACCTACTAGGTAACTGACACTAATTGCAGAAGGGCTTACTTATGGCTAAGTCCCTTAGCACCACCGCTACCACCTTCACACTCCCTCAAAACACCCTCACACTTCTTCTTCTCCTCCCTCTCTCTCTTTTTCTGTTGAGTTTCTCACCTCCCCTGGGACGAACGGAGTTGAGTATCTTACTACTCATCATTTGTTGTATTACAAGTCTTACAGGCGCCGCGTCAGGGCCATTCAGGATCCAAGAAAACCCACACCCACCGACTGAACTGACCTTGCTAGCAAAAGCACTGCGACCCACTCCGATCGGGGTTGCTTGAATATCTCAACGAATTGCGCGACACCTCCGTTACCTCGTCCTGTCCACCAATTACTCTTTCTATAGACCGATCTGCTGCTTCCGACAAGGATATTTCTCCTCCTTCATCCTCTGTGCTCCTTTCTGTTCCTTCTCTACAATTCCCTCCGTCTCTCCCAGCAGCTGTGATATGGGAGTAATGCACATCTTCCTCCTACGCTAACTCCGATTTTGATTACCTTCGACTTTTCCCTCATTCAGCTGGAATACACCCTCTCCTTCGTTTTCAGATTCAACAGGGGTATAGCGAGATAAACATATCGTCGAGCCTATCTCGCAGTCGAGTTTCTCAAACACTCTTCCTGCTGCCGACTTCGCTGCGCTTATCAAAGCCCCAAAGTCGCACGGAGCTGTAGCCGTCGAATCTCCCGTTCTTGCCAATCCAACTCGCTCCTCCTCAAAACTTGCTTGCCTTCGAATCCGCCTGAATACTGTCGAGACACTATCCACAACGGACTCTCTGCGCGCGGAGATTATCGTCGTATATAGACCGCCACACAAGACCGATACTTGAATAACTGGGAAGTGTTGAGCCAGCAGCCGCGGATAGTTCGGCAAAAATAGAATATCTCAGTGTACGTACAAATTTCCCGATGCCTCTCGCTGCTGCTGCAGGAATAAACTCAGTGGAGGCGTGCCTAATCTTACGCTGCGGATATAGCAACTCTACCCCTCCGCTTGTCAGACATTTTCTTTGTCCCCGAGTGTAAGTGACTTCATCTTATTCCGAATCTCGAATGGCGGCACTGCTTCCCCCTCCTAGAGCCAGATCTGCACCTGATACATGTTTCGAGTGTAACCCACTTGACTGGTCATTCCTCGCAGCCTGAGCGCATCCCTGATTCAATTTCAGACCTGACAGTCTTTGCGCGCATCTTTGGATGAATTTTCGGAGTCATTTATTAACGCAACGGTAACAGACATCCCTCTTCACATTTGTCAGGAATCAAATATACTATCGCAAAATGGGTTGTATGAGTTCGAAGCCCGTAGATGCGGGAGATAAGGAAGCCCTCCAACGGAATGTGAGGATAGAGAAGGCGCTCAAAAATGACAAGAAAGTGATGGACAGAACGATCAAAATTCTTCTCCTTGGTAAGGATGCGCTTTGGCATACGCCGATGCTTGATTTGTTCTTCGCACTGACCAAATCTGTCCAGGTGCGGGAGAGTCCGGCAAGTCAACAATCATCAAACAGATGCGCATCATCCACTCGGGAGGATTTCCTGAAGACGAACGAATTCAGACTCGGGCGGTAATCTACTCGAACCTGATCATCGCCTTCAAAGTTCTATTGGAAATTATGCGTACAGAGAGCATTGAATATCAACTTGAAACAACTAAGGTGAGTTTTAGCCCCCAAAACGATGAAAATAATTATCCAGGTCTACTGCTTGGATCTGATAATCCAGAAACTAATTATTAAACTCATGGGCTTAGTCGCTGGGTGAATTTGTTGACAATTTGGAGCCGGATGTGGGCTCCGATGAAGCATTCTCGGATTTGAAAGTTCGTGATGCTTTGAGAGATATTTGGGACGATTCAGGCGTTCAGAAGGCAGTGGCTCGAGGACATGAGTTTGCGCTTCATGATAACCTACACTAGTAAGTGACGAATGACGACTTAGCCTAAGCGACTCACTAATCTTCTTTCCAGCTTTTTCGAATCTCTTGACCGGATTTTTACTCCCGGTTGGCTCCCCGACAATCAGGACATGCTACAAGCTCGGTTGCGAACAACAGGAATAACGGAAACTCTCTTCGAACTCGGTCAGATGAATTTCCGGATGATGGATGTTGGCGGACAACGATCCGAGCGCAAGAAATGGATTCACTGCTTCGAGGGTGTGCAATGCCTCTTGTTCATGGTTGCCTTATCAGGATACGATCAATGTCTTGTTGAGGATCAGAATGCCGTAAGTCATGGTCACATTTTGTATGATCTAGTGTCATCTAACCATTTTGTGCGCACAGAACCAAATGCATGAGGCAATGATGCTATTCGAATCACTTGTGAATGGCGAGTGGTTCAAGCGCAAACCCATCATTCTCTTCTTGAACAAGATTGATCTCTTCAAGGGGAAACTTCAAGTTTCGCCTGTCTCTAATCATTTCCCCGACTACAACGGTTCGAACACCGACTTCGATGCTGCAGCAAGATACTTCGCCGACCGCTTCCGAGGCATCAATCGGATTCCAGACCGCGAGATTTACATTCACTATACAAACGCCACCGATACCACTTTATTGAAAGCTACCATGGATTCCGTGCAAGACATGATAATCCAGAAGAATCTCCACACCTTAATACTCTAAGGTATTACCGGGCATGACTAATATCTAATGAAACATTCTTGCGGCCGTGGGATCCCCATCTCCCACTAAATATTATTGATATTCCCTTAGCAGCATTACTTCCTTGTGCTATCCGCAACTGCTCGACGCTATTCTCTTCCCTTGTCGTTCTCAGGATCGTCCTTGGCTCGCTTGGATGACTTTCTTATCTCCACGCTCTTCTATACTGACAAAAGCACGCATCTCATCTTCGATTCAGCGGCGTGAATCTCCTTTCTAATGCAGATTGATACCATATACCACATAGTTGTGTCTGTGTCTGCGTCCTTAGCAACACCTTACGATTTCGTTTGGCCTTTATTTCCAATGTTTGGCCTCTCATTGGGTCTATCGTTTCCATCTCTTTCTTCAATGTATCTACTTCATTCTCTTATTCAGTGTTACATAAAGGACAACATTTGTTTGTTGAGTTGACGTCAATCATGCACGTCTTCCGAAATTTAGATCACTCGAAAACCTACAGTTGTAGTACGTCCTATCTTGGAACGATCCAAGTTTGCGTAGCAATTATTGTAACATGCGCATTGCCAATGGACCCATTGCGAAAGTATAAATGGCACTTTTCTACTTTTAAATCCCAAACTGCTAAGGTTTCCTTTGTGTGGTGGTGCGAACAACGCAGCTCACCTGAGCCCCTTTGGTGGGAAGCAACAATTTACATGGTTACCACCGCCAGAAATACGGAGATCACAGAGGCTGGGCATTGTAGCCATTTAGTTCAGTTTAATTGTGTCAGGTCGAATGTGGCAGAATCTGTTCCCTACCTCGAGATCATACAAGCATTGATATCACATGACCTGCCTCAACATCCCGCAAAACTCTGCTGAGCTAAGCAGAGATCCGCATGATCGGCTCATCAACTTCAACTTCGGTTTCGCCTCTTTCGCATCCGCCAAGTTCGTTTACCCAGCTTCTGGGACTTTACGACAATTTGAAACCCAGAAAAATGCTTTCGTCCTCGCTGCGCCGGGCGGCCTGGGCCCCCATTGCCCCTATCTCAGGCGTCACTCGCGCCTCAAGTCAAACTCTCACCACCTCCGCGAACAACCTCACCGGCTCAACGCAGCCTGTGCGTCAACGGCGCTACTCCTCCTCCTCGTCCTCGAATTCTAGCGATGGCGCAAGGAAGCTGGAGTTGGAAGTGAATTCAGGGAAGTCGACCCGTCGGAGTCGTAAGGACAATGTCCGCACGGGCTCCAACAAGCAGCAGCAGACGGCATTTTCCCGACTTCCCAGCGTTCCCTCGACCCAGCACCTCCTCCCGCATGGTAAGCCAGCCAGCCAGCTTGAACAGATTTTCCCCTTTCCAGAAGACAAAATGCCACATGGGGGAAAAGAAACGTGACAAGCTCCAGAAGCCGAACTCCAGCTGCTAACACATTTTTTCTTCTCCTCCATGCAGATGTCCAGGTCGCTTCCTTCTTCTCCATCCACCGTCCCATCTCCGTCTCCACCAGCGTGCCCCCGACTTCCACCTCCGAAGCCTTCGACGCCATTTTCACCGAGCGCAAGCCCGCCGTCGACGATGTGATCTCCACGCTCTCGTCCGCCGTCCACTCCATGGAAGGCGAGGACGACCACAACCACTACCAGGCCGTGCTGCAGGAATTGACCGACCGCAATTTCCTCCAGCAGGGCCAGCAGGGCCAGCAACCCTCTCAGACCATGAACCTGACCCTCTCCATCGAGGAACTCACCAAGCGCCTGCGGCCCTTCCACCCTCCTCCACCCCCGGTTCCCATGAACGAGATTTCCGCCAACAACACCACCAACGAGCAGCAGCTCCTCCCCCCGACGACGACGACGACGACGGGTAACCACCACCACAACACGACGGAAACCTACTCCGCCGTCCTGACCATCCACGAGTCCACCCTCCCCGATGGCCGCAAGACCTACCAGGCCCACGCCGGCCCCTTCATGCCCACCAAGGACATGGGCGACCCGCAGGCGCCGCCGGAGATCGTCGAGGCCTACATCGATGTCGTGGACCCCTCCGCCCACCCGGAGCTCAGCTACATCGACCAGCAGGATCAGCAGATCAACGGCCCCATGCAGGCCATCAGCACAAAGAGACGCCGTCGGTTGAAGATGAAGAAGCACAAGTTCAAGAAATTGTTGCGGAAGACGAGAACCTTGAGGCGGAAGTTGGAGAAGTCTTAAAGAGGCTTTTTTTCCCTTCTCCAAACCCAAGATATGTGCTTTCTTTTTGCTCTTCATTGTGTCTCGTTGCTTTGATGAATCCGGTTTCCCCTTTTCCGGTTTTATTTTCCCTCCTCCCAACAACTTTTCGAAAGCAACTTTGACCTCTGGTTTCTCTGAATATCTTCCGTTTTTCTTGCTTAACTTGCATGCATCTATCTTATCTCTATCTCCCTCTCCATCAACCGACCTACTAGTCAACCAATTCAACCGACACTTATAGACAATACTATGTGACATATTATCATTATTCTCAGTTCTCAGCTGGTTAGGTTCGTGTAATCATCCTACGTGCGTATGTGCATACCCACTCTTTCCGGACTTTTATCTATACTCGCAAGCCGATGCGCATGCACCATACCTGGAAATATTTGCCAGGACCTTGTTTCCCCCCTTCTCCCAGCTCAGATCAGTTTCAGTGTCAGGATCAATTGATTCAACAAATACCAACATGACACCCATAGTACAGGAAGCAAACAGTAAGCATGTAAGCAATGCAAAAAATAAAACACAAGAAAAGAAAACCTTTAGCCATGCAATAGTAAATTCAAATATCTACCAACCAGTCAAAGATCGCCCCCTTCGCCACTTCCTCCCACTAATAGTAGTCTACACTGGCATATAATCTCCTCCTCCTGCTCCAAGAATGCGAAGAAATGGAAAAGGAGGGAGATTAATATACCTATTCAATAGCCGTCCCTTTTCTCAACTCAGAGACCCGCAAGCGGATCAAACTTGTCTCTCCACAACTTGTCGGTAACGTAAATCTTAGGGAATGTTTCCGACAACCAAGAGACACACACACACACACACACACACACACACACACACACACACACGCATCACGTTAAAAAGATCATGTTTTCTTGAGAATGGATTTCTGGACCAAATCCGCGCTTCACGGTATAAACGATTCGTAACATGGGGAACACTAGGCTTCAACGACGGGGTAACCGCTCACGCGGGTTCTTGTTCACATCTCGTCGTTGCCATCGCCGGTGCGCGCACGAGTCTCACAGAGAACGTGCCGGCGGGCGAGCATTAGGATCGTTCGCTTAGCAGACGGCATCAATTCTCGAGCGGGAGTTCATGAGAAGGGCGACGATAAGACCGTACAGACCTGATAAGAGGATCGGTGGTTAGTGGTGCCGGAGTAGACATATTATAGATTTGGTGGACTTACCCAAAACTTCAGCGAAAATGAGAATCAGAATCATTCCAACGTAGAGACGGGGCTGTTGAGCAGTTCCACGGACACCAGCGTCACCCACAATACCGATGGCAAAACTTAAGATAAACAGTCAGCTTCTCGGCTCGAGATCGTAGTAAAGCTCAAAGAACATACCCAGCAGCTAGACCGGCCAGACCGACAGCGAGACCAGCTCCCAGCTGAATGAATCCGGTGTACAGCGGCACCTTCTGGTTCAGATCGTTGGCGATAAGGACGGACACGACCAGACCGTAGATACCGATAATACCCGCCATGACAATGGGGACGATGTCTGTTATCACAGCCGTTAGTGGCTCAGTTCCAAGTATAGACTGCAGAAGCATGGTTCCTCCTCCACAGCTGCAGCGAATGCTGAAAAGGGCTTCCAACGTACTCTTGACGATCAGATCGGGTCTGAGGACGGCCATGCCGCAGACACCGACACCGGCCTTGGCAGTTCCATAGGCAGCTCCGAAGCAGGTGAAGACGATGGCTGAGGTGCAACCCAGCGCACCGAAGAAGGGCTAATGGGCGGCAGTTAGCTATTTGTACGAGGGGGTCTTGGTTTCGTGCAAGGTGACGTTGCTCCATTCGTGGAGGACCCGACGGTCCCCCGTCGAGCTTCAGCACCTTATCAATGAGGGGTGCGAGTCAACTCACAGCATAGACGGGGCTATAACCATACAGATTAGCACAGTCCGCAACAAAGCACTGATGGGTAGGATTGATAGCTTATCGCACAAGCTATGCGTTGGGATGTTGGGAAAAGGAGTCAACCAGGGTGATTACGTACCAAAGTTCGGTGGCCATTTTGATGGTCTAAACGGCTGTTTGGAGTTTGACAGATGCGAAGAAGCTATAGGAACAGCCGAGAAAGGTGAAAGTATGGTAGAAGAAGGCCGCGTCGACAGCGATGAGATGAGGCGAAGGCGTGGGAGAGCTGAGACGGAGATGGAGGCTTGGAAGGCGAACACGCTGGTTGCTTCGGAGAGGTTCACCGACCACCTGCGCTATCACGTGATCTACGGCTTGGCGCCTTCCCGCATTGCCCCAACCACTGACATCAGCACTGGATCGACCTATCCGCGTTCTCTACGAAGTACTATGCTGCATTCATTAACTATTCCCCAATTCATCAATACAATATTTAACATGACTAGCAACCATTCTATATGATCCGATCATCAGTTCAGCTCTAATGCCACCCGACATCCTGGAATGTCGAACTTCGAGCTCGATTCGTGCACTTCCCCAGTTGACTCTTTCCCAGCCATGGGTTGCACGTAGGTTATAGCTTTCTCCGACAGCCCACCAAAGTAGCCAGGCACTACCCGAAGGTCTTTCTGCTCAGCAGATTCCCTTTGCAAAGGAACAGCCTCGGCGTCCGAGACAACGCCGAAATGAAAGGCATTGCCTCCCGTCCGAGACGCCGACCAATCTGAACGACTAGGTTCAACGGAAACGAAGAATTGGACGTAGTCGCCAGGCCCTGCAGCCTGCGAGAGAGTGGAAAGATCCTCGCCAAAGCCGCGCATCTCAAATGGCGGCGGCGGAGGCGGCGGAGGCGGCGGTGAATTCGTCGAGACTTCCGCATCGCCCGCAGTAAAGAGTCCCTCGAGCCCCAGTAGCCTGTCTTTCTGGGTTGATTCCATGAATGTTGTTTCAGGGTCTAATGATAGGAGGCCCTGTTTCTTGCCCCATCCTCCTCCGCCACTCATCACTCGGTGGAGTTTACCGCCCTTCCGGATCGCCTCGATAAGGCTTTCTTGAGAAGCCTCCTTGCCTGCCGTGTAGCCCTCCTCGGACGTCTCAATTAAAGCCCAGACGGAGACCCTTTGGTCAGTGATGTTGTGTTCGGCAATGTAGCGAGGAAGATCTCTCTCCAGCTCCAAGGAAGCTGGCATGGGATCTTGGGAGCGTTTATCTGTATGTTTGGACAATTGACGGAGAATGTTTCCCATACTGGAAATGACCCTCCTTCGTTGCCCGACGGGGTACAATGGAAGCTCGAAAGAGTCGCTAACGTTTGCTGCTGGTGAAGTGACAATGCAGTTCGACAAGTCCAGCGTACTGTCGAGTGTATATCTCTTTGCAGCAGTATTGTAGATCCAACGGGCTCCAAAGAGAGTATTCTCCTTTCCATTGATGAAAATCGTATTTGCAAGTCGCAGGCCTACTTCATGGATGGACTTCTTGAATCCTCCATTCGATGCATGAGTATCGCTTGTCGGAATTGAGAATACTAGTCCTGAATCTGTGGCCTCCATGCTTCGTGCCCGGCGAGGTGTAGCGAGCTGACCTTGTATATTGTCCCGGTTTACTAACAGCATCGATATCCCGTCGGCTTCCTGGGCGCAGCGGTTTTCCCTATTCTGTGACACCTGTGGTCGATTATCTGGAAGCTTATCGACAATTGCAAAGATTGAATGCACAGTATCGGTGGTCCCTGAATAGAACTGATTCATCCATTGTTCAGGGAATGTGTGAGACGACAAGTCGATCCATGATGCGAAAGCGGAGGTTACGAGAAAGATAGGAACAACATCGAGTCGTGGTAGAGATTCGAGGGTAGGAGGCGCACTCGAGAGGACATCGTTTGGAGACTATTGAGAGGTTAATTTATGTCCAGATGAAGACAGGAAATAGAAACGCACAATCGCGCCCGGACTCTGCGTGAGCCAAGTATAGGCTATGGGGCGGGCACTGGAAGCCGTGTTTGCGACCGACCTTCGAACAATGGAAGGGACACGTCGATATGAATGGCGACGACAAGCCAGCCGTGCTGGCAATGAGCGCGGGGCGGACCCGAAAATTAGTGACATAGGAGTAGCATGGATATCTCAATCGAAATTAAGATTCTCGACCAGCTACAACTTGAGGAGCATTGCAAATTGAATGTCATCCTGGCCCGGAAATGCGGAGGGAGCGGCGGATTTTTGGAAGCTCACCGCCTAGGGACTCGGTCTAGATTACAGGGTACTGATTCTGCCTCACGACGGGGCGGCACTCGTCTTTTGGCCAGGCCTGCTTGCTTCATTGCACCTTTTAGCTCGAATGCAACGACAGAATACTGCTTTTGTGGACCGTCTTAGGCTGTCCTATACTTACATTAGTGGAAGATTAGTGACAATCTTGTCATGGCCCGCGCCACACACTGTCACGCACATACCAGCAGTCCTGTCGACAGTCAAGCAGCTCAAGAAACCTGCCATCCTCGGTAGGATTATGATGGCATAACGCGAGGCCGGTGTCTATTGCACCTGTCGATCAGAACTTTTATGCATGGCAATCCCCAAAACCGTGGGTGGTTGATTGTGTAGATCGATCATGGGGCACTTAACAAGGGTGTTGGAGACGCAGAAAGCTTGTTTCGTTCGGTTTGCATAACGCATAACCCCGGGGAGGCTATGACATCATTCATCATTGATGATTATGGAAGGATTCTTCATCATGTCTAGACACACGGATGACTAAATGGCAGATATGGTGTAGATTGATACGGAGGTGGGCGTTCTTCTCTGCGACACTCGGGCCCTGCGGCTTGATGCGACTGATGTCTCTGGATATGCAAGATGACCAGGGAGAGGGAATGCGTGGCTGCGGCCAGGTTCGAAGCAGATGTGGAAGTGTGCTACCTACGGATTGTTATAGCTTGCAACCTATCATCGAGAACATCTCGTGCAGTCGCCCGGCCATATGCACTAATGCATGGATAGCACAAGGCGATGACTTTTCTGAGACTCCGGAACTCAACGATAACCGGCCCCCGTTGTTCTCAGGTACAGGCAAAGTTTGTGGTTGCATGGTGGTGATAGTATCAATCTGGCTAATCATAAAGCTATCCCATCTGCCCTACAGGAAGCATGCGATCAGAACGTAGCCAGCACGTTCTCAACTACCGATCCCAAAGTGACTAGTTATGGACTTGTGAACGAATATGAGTTTCATATTTTGGACGGTATCAGAAGCATAAGATACGTGGGAATGACGTTTCAAGATGTTCAAAGGAATGTGGCCTGGATGACGCGTGTTGGAAGATAAGATGCATGTGAAATGATTTCACTTCTGTTCCTCCCAGAATAGATCTACACAAATACTCGATGGATACAATTGGTGCATGGATTAGAAGAAGACAAACATAGCCACAGCAAAGCCACACTGCTATGTACGAGTACATGTAAAGCAATGATAACGGGTGGACCATTGACCGACAGCTCATGCGAGTGTAAATGTTTTGCTATATTCTCCAGTCATGATTCGTGTGCAGGGTGGTTCGTAGGGCTGTCGGGCCCACTAGGTACTTGGTTTGCTGACCGCGGTCTCAAGCGAGGGTTTGGAAGTACTCTTAAGCGGTAACTACGTTCTATTATCAAATCTCCAGCATGAGGAAGAGTGATTCTACAGATGACCTCACCTCCGAATTAGCCTATAAGGTATTGCGCAGGATTGGAATAGCTTGTTGTACTGTACAGATATGTGTTTCGCTTAGTTGCGCCGAGCTTGAGTTCCTCAGCCGACCGCCGATGGCGAAAAGAAAGTCGGATATGCCAAGCGTTTTCCAGGCAACAAAATTAGAGATCTAAACAAAGAAAAAAAGTTTGCGGGAAAAAGGAACAGAAGGGTTGATCTGTAGGGGACACAAATTGTGAGGACCCGCGGTTCAGTATGGGGTAGGTTCACAATTAGCAATCAGCGAATTAGTTAGCCAGGCGTTAGCAGGCTGAGGAGAAAACCCCTTACTGAGCGAGGATCTTGCGACTACCGGGTGACATTCATGATGGTAACCTAATCCACCCTCCAACAGTGTACTCAATGCACTTCAACGTCGATACGACGCAAAAGTCTACCACCATCGATCCTTGGATGGACTGACGCTGCAAATGCTCACCTGAAGCGTTAAGGCCAATCAGTAACGGGTGTTCGCATCAGCCACAGCAGGCTGAGCAAGTATGACGTAGCATGCATCCCACGAAGCCGTCATACCGAGAAGATCATCTCATCGGCATGACATGAACGAAGATTTGGATCTTGGCGGAGTACACTGGCTATGGCTAGAGGCTATGTACTGTAACTACTGTGTACGGAGTCGCCAATTTGTCTAGTAGCTAGGAATAGGCATTAGACCCAATAGTTAGTCTAGTTGTAGGTACCGTGACGCCCTACGCCCTGCTCCCGAAGTGGTCGGTGCAGAGCCAGCGGGCAGTTGCTTTGCCCACCCAGAATTTAAAAGACTCCTGTGGTCCCGCTGCCTTCCTTCTCCCTTCTCTTCTTGCTCTTCTTCTCTTCTCAACTTCTCTCAAATCTTTCTTCACCTCTTGAGACTCTTCATTCGCATCAAGCCTCCAGAAATCAACGTTTTACCGTCATCGATAACTGTTCCAAGACAGTCACTCCACCCTCCCATTCACCATGCCTTTCACTGCTTCGTAAGTCACTTCCACCCGCAATGACCCTTATCAGTGACCAGGTAGCTTGCCAGCGGTGTGGACTTTTTATGATGCAGTTCAGCCCAGGCAGCTTCTATAGTACTTTACTCGACAAACAAAGAAACACCGCTAACACAGGTCATTTTTCTGGACAGTGACGTCTGCAAGATCATCTTTGCGATCATCCTGCCTCCTCTGGGAGTTTTCCTCGAGCGCGGATGCGGTGCTGATCTGCTGATCAACATCTGTTTGACAATCCTGGGTTGGCTCCCTGGAGTTATCCACGCGTTGTACGTTGCCTTTCCCACCACTAGTTGAGTTGCAGAGAACGCCATTGCTAACTAGCGCTGCAGTTACATCATCTTCAAATACTAGACCGCCTGCTTGTTCACCGCCCCATTACCCGATTCAATCGACCAACATTCTTCGTCCCACGATTGTATCCCCCATCAATTGGCAGTCAACATTCCAAAGTGAACGGGGGAGTGTTGTCCGTGATGTTGTCAGCTTCTAATTGTTCCGCGGACTTCCGACCGGCTCTAGCCTAATTTGACCCCGCCAATTAACCTACCGTCTGCTCCTGCGCTTTACTGGATCCTCGAGCTACGCGGATGGAGCTGCCATATCAAAACACTATGGCGATGGGGTCGGGTCTCTCCCGTCTTCTTTCTCCCTATGTCTTTGATGTCCGTTTCCTCTGTCGCAGTTCTGTTGTTTTCTTTTTCTTTTCTTTTTTTCCCTCTTTTTTTCCCTTTTCGATGATACCAGCTCATTGTGATACTGGGCTTTGCTTGTACTGTTGGCAATGATCAGCTTCTAATGATTAATGGCAATAATTCAAATTACTTTTGAAAATCCATCGTTCCCGCATATGTGTATCTGGGTGCACTTTAAGGTAGCTGATTGGAAGATAGAGCGGGCTTCTTATTCCCAGACTACACTTAGGCGGCGATTGATGGACAGTGGTGAACAGAGACAAAAAATGGAGAGACACAGACTCTAAATGAATCAATATATTCAGGCACAAATCAGCGTTTAAAGGTAAAGACAAAAGACAGTTGTTCAACTAATGCTTCATCATAAGACCGGTTCAGGGAGCAGTACATAGACCCTGAATATTCAAGTCAGCTGACCTGACATCATCCTTCAGTTCACTCTGCAGCATCGGCGCTAACACGGCGCGTATCGCATCAACATCACTCTCTCTGCCAGCCCCGCATCCATCCAAAAGCGCTAATCATGCTGAAGAAATCCCATCGGTTGACTACGTGTAGTGCATCTATGACAGATTCACCATGTTTCACACAAGCGCCTACAGGGGGCGCAGTCTAATCGTTACCGTCTCACATTTTGGCCATGTTGCTTTGCAGCCACTTGGCGCCATGATGAGATTCTGTGTCTCCTTTGACGCCCACATTGACAAGGCGATGGCAAAATGTGGAACGCGCGGGTCTCTAATCTCTGAAATGGGACGGTTACCTCCTTAACGCTGCCGACTTCTCCAGAATTCAGTTTACCATGTTCTTTCACTCGAGCCGGTGCTAGAAATCTGTTTGTTTGTTCGAGCACTGCATGCCTCTTTTGCCAGTGCCTTTGTCTCAATCTTTCAGTAGAATGGTATCACGTTTCCACTAATGGTTGTGGAGGCAGATGAACCTCTGCAGTGTCCAGATTGATGTAAGAAAGCTTGCTTTCTAACGGCATCATGGAAACATGAAATCGACATGCTAACCTAAATTCTAGGTTGACACAAAATGTTATTGTCTCTTTCTCAATGGCTACTCATCGCAGCACTATCAGTTCTTCCGTGTCTCGCTTCTATATCGCAATCTTCTTATCCTACCGCGACAGCGTCGTCTTTTTCCAGTCTAATACCCAAATGTGCTCGAGAGTGTGTTGACGAGTTCGTAATCTCCGACTATCCGGATGATGCGTGTGGAAAAACATGGAATCTCGACTGTTTATGTCGGACGAATACAACCAGTGGCTATACCTTGGGCGAGGCTGCGTTCCGATGCAGTCTGTCGCTGTGTCCCATCAAGACCATCTTCTCCTCCGACCTCTACGACATTTGCGACTCAGTGTCCGGAGCATTACCGCGGACCCATGCCACAATAACAGCTACAATCACGTCGACCCAGAGTAAAACTGCGATAGTCACCACTTCCTCTGAGCCTCACAGTGTCGTCTCTACGGTATCATCTACCTCACTGCCTTCTCAAACTCAAGCTAGAACCCAGCATACTACTACTGTCCTTGTCGCCTCATTCGACAGTCCGACCACTATATCTAATATCATTCATTCGACGAGTGGCACCTGGACTACCTCCAGCAGCACGACCAGTAGTAGCAACAGTACTTCGACCGCTGCAGCCGCCGCCGCTATAACCACCACTCACAGTAAGCTTAGCGCTGGTGCGGTGATCGGCATATCTGTCGCTTCTGGAATGGCGGGACTCTTCCTCATCGGAGTTCTGGTGTTGTTCTGGTACAGGAAGAACGAACATCGGGATGCAGAGGCTCGAGATAGAAACTTCTTCGAGATTGGCGGAGTCATGGCGGAACCTCCAGATTTCGCTTTCCCGCCTCGGCGGCCAACGGGACCCAGGCCTATGCCCGGCGGCGTGGACAGAGACTCGGAAACGTCACGCTTAATAACTCCTTTCGAACCAAGGCTTCATATTCCAACTTTTGTTGCGAATACACCACGACATAAGTATGACGGGGATTCCACGAGATTACATAGTCCCCACAACATCGGTTTCGCCATATCTTCTAATTCTGATGCGGGAGCATCATTAGCGCATTCTACTCCACGGACTCTCTCAAGCTTGCTCCCGGAAAAGCCAACATACGGGCTGTATCCGGAGCCACTAAGATGGAGTCGGCAGAAACGGCCCGGCAGTGTGGGAACACTGTTCGAGGAGGATGTCACCAAGCCACGCAGCTTCCTTGCCAGTCCTCGGTTGAACCAAGGACCATCTACTTGGTCACGCAAACCGCAACCCGACCGGCCTCATAAAAGACCTCCAATGGCCGGCCTACCCGCCCATCCACGCGCCATGTTGCATGGTTTCCGAGAAGGCCAAGAAGGGAAGCTTGCTCTTAGAGGACCAAATCGGTATCAAGGACCGGGATATGGAAGACCTGCGGAGACAGCCTCTCCCTCGAACAATGTCGTTGGGGGTTCGGCCCATCCTTCCCCGAGGCTGAGTCACGAAGATTATACCGATGCATACTGGACAGATCGTGATGCTGGTCACACAAGGCCTGCTAGGACGTCACCTTATCTCGATGACAGCCCTGGGGGAGGCCGGCGTTTGATCTACGACACAGACTCAATTCCTTATCACACAACTGGCGAAGAACCCCAACCCTCCCGACGCGAATCACGCCATTCAGGAAGTCTGTGGCCCCTCACTCCGGTGCGAGAAATCAGGACCCCGAACCTCGAGATGCCCAACTGGCAATACGAGACTCCGACCGGCAGCCGGATCACTGTCGGCCTCCCACGCATGCCGAACTCGAGGTCCATCAGCCCTGCGCAAGAAATCGTTTCCCGGCCCCGGATTGTGCGACAGGATGATATTCGGAGGGTGCAGATTCGCCGGGTCACGCCCGAGCCCGATGAGGAGCCGACAGCAGGAACCTATGCGCCCCGTAGTCCCTGGCTTGAGGAGGACGGTTATGGTTCGCGATACGGAGCCCAAGCACGCAGGACGTCCTTCGACTCCATTTCGTCCGCCGACAGTCTGAGGAGGCCGCCTGTTCCGAGGAAGCCGGTGCCAATGGAGCAGCGCAACCTGACACCTTCGAGGCAGGGCTCGGATCTCATCCTCCGGGTAGATTGAGCGGGCTTACTGCTCGCTTAGCTCGCTCTGGGTAGTGAGTGGGCCAGTCTTTTCTTCTTTAGGGACATCGCTCTTTATGGTTTCTCCCTGGAAAAGATGTCCTTTTTTTGGTGTATTATAAACAATTCGATCTATGCATATATATATATATATATATATATCGGGATATTGTCGGAACTGCGGAGATGTTTTCAAAGGGTGCTGTCATTGTGTCTAAAGTGTTTGTTAGGCGGGTAGGCGGATGCGTTCAATAAGATGCAATTTGAGAGCTTGTATCCAGTTTCATTTAACCGTGTAGAGTTCTTTGGGTCTACAAATCAGAGTACAGAGGACTATGACTCCTATACAGAATCGTCTTCAATGATATACGCCTCTTCAGATAGAATATAAGATGAGAACTACTCTGCACCTCATTATAGTCTCCAGCGTTTTCCAATTGCAAAATAAGCTTGATAAATGGTTGTGTGCGTATACCTAAGGTAGATGGCATTCCTCGCTGTAGATCTTTGTCCTGACTCTACGACCGCATGAGTTTGTCGGGGGTTTTCTTGCCGTTCGGCAAGGTTCAGATTTCACAAAGGCCCGGCCTCACTTGGGTGAGCTATCGTTCTTTTTACTCTATCCCAGTTTGATGATGCTTTTCGAGTGGAGAGCTGAGAATCTCTCTGAGGAAGCGGATGCTTGGGGAATACGTGCCAGGTTGATAAAGACAGGCGGGGTCAGTCTGGAGGGTCTATATAAGGGTTGACGGAAGCAGTCTCGTGCGCGCTTTATCTTCCCCTCGCAACCCTAGAAACAGGCTACTGAGTTATCTTTGAAGACCTGGCAAAAATGAAGACTGAATCACCACCACCACCACCCCCAACTCCACCCCCCGCCGCCGCCGACCCGGTGGCCCCAGAGGAGATAGAGATGATGGATTGTGATCCGGCGATGTGGTCTGGGCCAGTTCCGGAGCCACCGGAGCTGGCCATCATCAATCTCCTCAATGAGGCCGGGGTGCCCTGTGTGCTTGTTGGAGAGCTGGCGCTTCGAGCCTACGGCTTGAATCTTTATCCGAAGAGCATAGATCTGGTCGTCGCGGACGAGAACGCTCGGCATGTCGAGGAGCTCCTCGAGGGCCGGGGGCTTGCATTGTGTTATGATCGCCGGTGCTCGCTCTGGGACGAGGGCGACAAATACTTCCTCTCGGAACTACACTGCCACCTCACAGCTCCCAACAACATCAATGAGAGCATTAGGGGGTGGAAAAACGGCCTCTTACACATCTGGGCGAAATCTTTGCTCCTGGAGAAGTTGCCGAATGGCATCCCCCTCCCGAACGACATCGCCGCCCACGACCAGAACTTCATGCTGACCTCCGACCCCCGCCTCCCCGAGCTGGCCCTCGACCTGTTGGGCGGGATACCCACTCGGTGGATCGGCCGTTGGGCGGCGGGAGTCGTGATCCTGACGCCCAAGGCCTTCCTGGAGCAGATGTTCTGGCACGTGCTCCGGGACTTCCGTCCTTACGACGCCAAGTTCAAAAGTCCCTGGGAGGTGCACATGTGCAGGTTCGTCCTCTGGATTACGAGCCAGCCCCCAGATTCCTATATGCTCTGTCCGAGTGTCGCAACCCTCAGCTGGACAGCGGCGCGGCAGTTTCTTGAGCTGCTGAGCAGCCCTTACGTCGGCCACCAAGACGCCTGGAACTTTTTCTTCATGCTGCAGGGCGTGTGGCACAGAGAAGGGCTGCTGACAAAAAACCCGCGACAAGGCAGGCAAGTACTCCAGGCTGTCGAGGATTATGCCCTGGAGGACTGAGCTGCGGCGAAGATCGGTACTGTTGGTGTCGCCTTTTGACTGGATTGGAGGGTGTAGATTGGCCTAGTCCGCTTCCTCTGTTAGAATAAGAATGATTCAATAAAAAGAAGTAACAGTACGAATGAGGTTTTGCGTCCGTCATGTGTAAGATTTGCCAACCTTGTAATACTCAGTCCCAATAGCCTGCTGTGTTATGTCTTTATTGAACAGTGTAGGGTTTGACTGACTCATTGAAAGTCATCCCTGTAGCATATAACTACATAGTAAGTCTGAATTGACGCGACTACATACATTACCTATACAGTGAATAGGCTAGTGGCTTGGTGGAAAGACCACTAATGCAAGCCCCTCTTTTCTATCTCTGGCCGGCAGGGGGGAAGGCCGATGGGGGCTGCAGTGCCCGAGTCTCCGAGATGTGACCTGACCCACAACATCCCCGCGGAGAGGATATGAGACACGCTGAGTCTGGGAACCGAGGGAAAGAAAGTGACTGCAGTGATATCAGAGTATTATTCTTCTTGAGAAGTTCTAACCAAGGAACCAGAGCCATGTGAAAATCAATCGGGAGGGTAGACTCGGGAGGTCGGAAGTACCGGAGGGAGGAGACGAAGAAGAAGACACAGAGAAGCCTCTCGGCTTCGATGACGTCAAGCCCGGCGATCAGTCTGAGGCAGTGAGGCAGCAACGATCCAATCGGCAAAGAGAAGAACTTTCGCATCCTAGGCAGAAGGTTTCACAATTTCACAGTACTCAACTATGCACAGGACTAGACTTGATTGAGTACTGGTTCAGGGGAACCTAAAGACATGTGTAACGTCACCGCTGCTATAATAGTCATTGGGTCAGTTAATGGACCTATTAACGTTACTGTTTTCATGGCATGTTTGTACCACTCCACTTTTATTATTGATTGCGGGTAAAAACGCCATGTACGTACTTTGGCCTGTGTCTAGAACAATAATGTACTGTACGGAGTACTGTAGTTACACATGCAGATCGATGTACATAGTCATAGTAGTAGTAAGGTAGTTTGTACACACACCCATGGTATTGAGCCTTACCACAAGTCACCTTCACCGCTTTGTGGCTACTCCTGCTCTATGGATTGTTTGTTTGGTTTCCATTGATGTCAAGGACTCAACAACCTCTTCTCAACCTCCTCCCCCCCCCACTTTTCACTGCTCTCCTCGTCCTCCCCTTGGCTCTTCCCTCATTTTCAACCGCGTTCGCTTGTTCTACTCTTAATATCGAGTGCACTATGATATCAGTTCCGACGCGCGTTGGATCGTCAACTTCAGTGATGACAGACCCCACACGATCTTCCTTCGACCCAAACCGGTCTGCAGCGGGAGGAAAAGTCCAGATGGAATGAATAATCGAATTTGCGCCGAAGAGCGAGTTTGCATCACTCCCCCCTCTCTACGGGACTGATGCATGTATGTCCCTTGTTCGTTATCGTTGACTTTCCCACATGTTTTGGCGCCCTGACCATTGCTCTGGAACGAATCAGATTCTCAGGTTGTTCCATTCACATCATCATCAGGCATGAGATGGGGCGGAGTGGAAGTCTGATACAACCCGCACCATAGACGGACCCTCTTGCTTAGGCCTTCAGCATCCAGCCTTCAACCACCGGAAATGACATACTTTGGTTGCGGTGGGGTTTACATCCAGCTGCAATGACCACAACACACAAGGAATTCCGACTCACCACTAGGATCGAGCGGTTTTCTCTCGATGACGGTACCACGGGCTGGGCTGTACTGTCTGTCCCGATTTTTCGCTACGTGCCTCAAAACTAACTACGTCGAGCGCATATCCCAGATATCCTCTACCCACTTACATATACAATCTTTCCTATATTAATGGCCTCGGGTCCAATGCACTCCCCTTTTCATTCTCAACTCTCTTCCTTCCATATCCACCGAATCAATCTTTCTCATTGCATCCTTGTGCTGGAACCGCTACGGCCCTCCCGTTGTGATCTTCTGCGTCCACGCCAAACTTGTGTGGGCTACTCTGACAAACCACTCAAAATTCAAATAGACTGTGTACGGAAACAGGTTCTCTTGTGAAATATTTTCTGGCGCCTCCTCAGGATCCAGTGATCGTCTTCTTTACACATACTCAAATCGTTCCGAAAGCTTCGCAGACCTGCGACCAGTTTTCCCCAGGGGCAGTCCTCTCAGTGATTGATCGATCTGTCTGGCCAGCTCAGGGCAGCTAACCATCGACCATTTCTGGTTCTCATCCGCGGGCCCACAACGTGCTCCACCTACCCACATATCATCGTCACCCCGAGACTATCCTGTTCCACTATCCACAATGACTACTACCGACGGTTTCGGTACCCAGAGGGTATGTCGGCTGTCCAGCCTGGATGCTTCTCGGGCCGACCTCTACGGCGGCCCTAATGTAGTCCTCCCTCCCAAGCATTTGATGGCTTCTAGCGATTTCCATGATACAACTACCACAATGGAATTGGACAAGCATCAGTCAGATGTCGAGACATCGTCGGACGATGGCTCTGTGCGCGTTGCGTCCCCAGTCCCTGAGCGACACCTCACCACTGCTGACCACTTCGCTCTGGGCTTCGATATTGACGGCGTCCTCATTCGAGGAGGAGAGGCAATCCCAGAAGCGGCCGCCGCTCTCAAGTACATCAATGGCGACAACCCATACGGGGTCAAAGTGTATGTTTCCCCTGCCGCACCTGTTCGCAAGATTGACCGAGCTGACTTTTCATCTTCCAGTCCTTACATATTCGTGACGAACGGCGGCGGCAAAACAGAAGAGGAAAGATGTCTGGATCTCAGTCGTCAGCTAGAGTTGGATGTCTCCCCCGGCCAATTCATCTGTGGCCACACCCCCATGCGAGAGATGGCCGAAAGATATAACACCGTACTGGTCGTTGGTGGTGAGGGTGAAAAATGCCGTCATGTAGCCAAAGGCTATGGCTTCAAGGATGTGGTCACTCCCGGAGATATCATCAAGACACGACACGACACCACGCCATTCCGCAAGCTTACCGACGAAGAATACAGAAACTCTCGGGTCATTGACTTTGACAAGACGAGAATCGAAGCAATCTTCGTGTTTGCTGACAGCCGAGACTGGGCCGGCGATCAGCAAATCATCTTAGATCTGCTCCTGTCTCAAGATGGACGTCTTGGAACTCGATCCGAGAAGTTTGATGAGGGCCCGCCTGTCTTCTTCTCCCACAATGACGTGGTATGGTCTACTTCTCACGAGCACACTCGCCTCGGCATGGGAGCATTGCGGGCTTCTCTCGAAGCATTGTACAAAGTTGTTACTGGCAAGGAGCTCTCAACAATCTCTTTCGGCAAACCGCAGATGGGTACATACCAGTTTGCTACGCGACTCCTGCGGCAATGGCGAAAAGAGAGCCATGGCATCAACAAGCCACCGGGCACAGTGTACTTTATTGGGGATACCCCTGAGTCTGATGTCCGGGGAACAAATGAGTTTGACAAGACCACGGACACCAATTGGTTTTCGATTCTTGTCAAGACCGGCGTCTACCAGGATGGAACCGTGCCCCGCTACCAACCCAAGCATACTTGTGCCAACGTGTTTGAAGCGGTCAAATTCGCGATCGACCGTGAGATGGCCAAAGGCGGCCAAACGCCACTGACTTCCGGGGCTGATCTTGATTCCGGCATTGACTCGGATTCAGCAGCCGCACGTCATTAAATGGAACGCTTACGCTACCAACACTACCCATTGATGCTGCGGAAAGTACCGACAGGTACAGTTTGCCCTGGTCTTCTGTGGTTTACTTAGACCTTGATTGGTCAGGGCATTGCAGCATCCTATTTACTCAAGCATGTCTTCCTGGGGCATGAACTCCAGGATTCACTTGAGGCATGAGTTAACGATAGATTTCCTTTGGATGCCACGGGTATGGAGTATGGATACATTGGCTTGTCATGAGTTTGGCGTTTTCTTCTTTCTTTTGCTTTCTTCATTGGGAATTCAACATGTCACTATAGATAATCTGAAATATTATTGAATCCTGAACTTAATCTGGTTACATCTTCGCGATGGTTCCCTAACTGAGCTTACTCGCCCGTCCCTTGTGTGTACTCCAAACCATATAGTAGTCCATGGCTATAGTAGTAGTCTAAGACATGGGTAAGATTGCCGCGGATACTAGACAGTACACAAAAAGAGGGGCTCGCCGGCGCGGGCGGGGACCCCTTGTTACAGGCCCGCGCACATGCACGTCACGTCCTTCCGACCGAGTTAACGGTCAGGATATGATTTCCCGGACTCGCTCCATCAGGTGCATTGTCTCCGCAAGTGGCACTGGTCGGGGTCGAGCCTGGAGGTGGAGACCTGGAGACCTGATGGACGGACAGGCTTGGCCTGGATTTAGCGTATGCAGAATGAGCGCATCGAAACATGCGGGATTTACATTCAGACCATGTGTACTTTTATGGGGAAATCGTGGGGTACATACATATGCATTCATGTGAGCTGTGTTCAATTGAGCTATAGCTGTGCTGATTTGATGCTGTAGGCTTGACTTGTTGCCTGTTCGTGGGTTATATCATGATCTTAAGGGGTGCCTGCGTGCGGGATTGGAATTGGCCGAGGCCTGAGGCTGTTTATTCTCCCGGTTTACCATTGAGCCGTCATGTTCCTTTCCCCTCCTCCTCATCTTCTCCTTTTCAACGTGCAACTACAAGGTACTACTGACCCCAGCTAGAGCGCTACAACCAAGCTACGGTGTACTAAGAGACCGCATCGAAGCTGACTAGTCTCCAATAGATGTCACGCAATACCCCTCTCGATCACTTGCAGGAGCGTCTGGTCTGCACAGCATCACTTCTGGGGTCTTGTCCCCGCATCTACAGTACAGTACCACTTTGGCACTCGCCATACCTACTCATCAATCCAGCGAAAACCCCTGCAACAGTTGTCCGCCAGGTGAGAACCAACCCGCTTCACTAATTCCTAGAGTGAAAAAGACCCAATCGCACCGCAATACCATATCAACTAACGCATTGGCATACGGCCATCTGACCTGACAGCTAGCGCCTCTCCAATAGAGAGTCCAATCGTATAACCTTCCAACTTGGGGTCGACAGTCACTCTAACCTTGAATACCATATGAGGCGTGCCCCTCGGCTATACCGGAAAGGCCCAAGCGTCGTGCAACCAAGCCCCCGGTCATCCTCGCCACACTTAAATCTTACCACTTGCCTTAGCGTTGGAGGGGGATGGCGGGGATCGGGCTGTCATTGACTTTCACTTTACCTTTCCATTGAGCCGGTCCTGGTCGATCACGAAGGTCAGTGTTCCACATTTTTTCGTCCTTGGCCGCTTAACAGGACTTGGCGAGGATGTGCCATGTTCACTCATCTTCGGTGTCCGAGGTTATCCGGCTGGGACGAGAAGGGCTGCCCCAGGTCTTCCTGACCCTGAATTCGGAGTTCCATCTGGTAACGCTTGAAGGGAATCTATTCCACGCTAGGTCTTCAATGCGGACGTGAAGTATTGTCTCGCAGTTCGAGTCAGGCAAAGGAACTGGAAAGGCAAACAAGCCGGAGGCACAGCTCACTGTACACGGCTGCAATGTCTACTGTTCTTCACTCGTCAATAACTGATCATACTACAGCGATTGAGCATTATCAGTCGGATTCACGTCATGCTGCTCAGGGAACATCATGAATTGTCAGCTGAAAAGACTATGTTACAGATCTATCTAGAGTTACAGGGAAGCTAAGCGACATTCGGCTACCAATCCGGCTCTTCCACATCTGAGTCAATGCCACGCCACATAGACAAGCCCCCTCGCTGGATGCCACACATTAACAGGACGGTGTGCATCACGGCGTTGTGCATGGTTGAACAGCCTACAAAGCCACGGTGAGAGCCCCATTCCAAGGCAGCAGAGCACCACTCGTCCAAGGTTTCGTCAGTTGCTTCGGGCACGATATGATAGTCGCTGACGGCAGAGTAACTATCGTGCAGTGCTACATCACGGACCATGAGTTGTCCCGGGTACAGCTCCAGGAAACGGTCATTCCGCTCAACATCCAACAACCTGTAGACGCCACGAGAGAAACTGCATCTCAGATTCCCCAGCTCATTCTCCTCCAGATCCCAGAGCGCTTGGGCTTCGAGGCTCACCTGAAAGTTACAGAAGCCACTTGTGCAGCCCGACAACCGCCAAGGTAGGCCCCATCGATGAGAGAGAAACGCCTGCACTATCTGCTCGTGTGCCGCGCCGTGTATCTCGGGCGCCAAGATCAATGGCCAGCGCGCATTCAGGGTCTCTTGCCGATAGTTGATATGATCCATTAGGATCTTGTTCGACTCGGTGAGGAGCTCCAGGGTGTTCAAGACCACCCCGCGCAGCTGCGGGTTGGGTACTCGCGGGGCCTGCTCATCCCCATTGTCCATGAGATCGTATGCCCTATGCCATACCAGCCGCTCGAATCCCGCGACAGTGCAAGTCCACTCCACGTCGACCTGGCTTCTCACGGCAGCTGCTCCCAGGCTTCTTCGTTCTCGTCGGGCGTATAGACGAAGATGATCAACGGTTTGGCCTCCGGCTCACGCGACGGCACGTGGTCCTCGAATTCATATTCGCTTATATCGTCAAATCCGTCGTCGCTTTCGCCAAGGTCTTCTGTGCCCGTGGTGAAAGAATCAAAAGGCGTGGCTCGCAATAGCGGGTAATTCGGCCGCCACGCCGCGTTCTGGTCGACCCCAGGGAGCTTGCTCAGCCACTCGGCGGTTCTCGCCATTTCGTCCCCGTTGTTCATAGTCTGAGGCTCCGGGGTCGTGGTAGCTCCAGCAGCGGCACGGTCTATGGATACACCCATGGTGACTGTTGCTGCTGCTGTTGTTGTTGTTGTTGTTGTGGGATCCTAGAATTCCCGTTCTGATGCCTCGGGAGAAGATGTTATGGTGTAGGTGTAGCGTAGACGCGGTCTTTCTAAACGCTTTCTCAAAAAATAAGAATGAGCCAATGCTGAACGCACGGTCTTTTGGCTTGCGGTTCGAAAGATGGTGCTATCTGAGGCAAAGAAACAAGTATATCGATAGATGTCGTTGAAGTCTTTCGAGCTGCATAAATCGCATGCTCAGGTCTTCTTCTGGTGGTGCATCTCCCAGCGGGGGCTTTCCATTAACAATATCTGTTTCTCAAAGGCTCGTTGATGTATCGAATAGGATATGCTGTCTTTATCATAGAACTTGCCTCCCATTATTACAGTAACACGCAACAGCAAAGGGTTGCATCCTGAGGAAGGCGCGGTGGGTTCCTGCGGAGACGCCGGTCTGAAGGGGACAGAGGCTGTAATAACACGATCAGCGTGCTACATATACTGGCAGGCTCTCTGACAATACCATTGTCAAAATTTACTAGAACCTATTTGATAAGCTAATATAACAGTGAAGGCTGTACATTACTCCTGTTATACAAACAAGTATAATGACTCATGAGTTGAACACACGGATGAACACAGAGCATTGAGCTGGTTCGATTACTCCACCAATCCCAAAAGTCAAAGACTGAATGGGATTTAGGCCTTGCCCACCTCCTTGAATGGTTCACGTTCTACTATCAAATAGAGACCGCAACAACCTCAACTTATTAGTGCTGATATCGGCACTGGAATACAAGCATTCCAACACAGCGTATCAGCAACAAAGCGCAGCAGGTATACCTGAGTAGCACACTGACTGATACTAAGTGTCAAGTATTCACCAACCACCGAATAAAGATTCTCCGTTCCTGTCGAAATGAGTGGTAAAGTCATCATCGTGGGTAATGCTCAGCCGACTGAAAAAAAAAAGATGATGCAAAAAGCTAAGGTCGTGCCCGGGTTCGAACCGGGGTTATTGGAATTTTCTGTCGATCTGACGTCAAAATCCAAAGTGATAACCACTACACTACACAACCTGTAGATGTCATACTGAGCTGACTCTAATCTAATGATTGCATTGCAAAGCTAACGGGTAGGTTGGAACTTGATTCACTAGTTGGGTTTGTTTGGTGTTGATTCGCGAATGGGTTGATTTATGGTGTTTGGGGCATAGCATATTTGTTCCAAGGGAGGGGGCTTATGTCTTGTTCAGGAACAGTGGAAGGGTGTGCGTTGTGTAGGTGATGTTTAGGAGGAAATTCAGATCGAGCTTCGAGTATAGTGTTGCATTGTAGGTGTGATTCTATCTATCTAGTTCCCTACATACACCAAGTGACCAACTAACGCCTTCTTCGAAAAAAGGAAAAAAAAAAANAAAAAAAAAGAACATACCCTGCATGCTGTCTTTGTGCATCAAAAATAAGAATAGCTATGTCTTTCTACGGTTGCGCTTGACTCTTGTCCCAAATATACGACCTCTAGCAAAAAGTAGATGATGGGCAGGGTCTTATATCTCAAACTCCTGGTCTAACCAATGCTTCACGACCACCTGGCCTTCGTCAAATCCCCTCTTCTTGACTCGAATGATGATAGCGGCGTGGCTATGCCGATGGTTATGGATCCAGACCGGGAACTTCCGGAAGCCCACCGAGTTCAGCGAATCGATGATGGAGAACTGCGCCGGA